GGACAGCGAAGTATGTATCTCTATGAAATTTTAGCATAAACCATAATGCCCTTTTTGGTCCTTTTGGCTAGATAAGAAAATGCACACTTGCTGAAGTAGCCCTAATTCCACCATTTCAAGAGCATCTTCTTAATACACTTTTTTCACAATAAAATTTAAAAAAAGAAAAGAAAATAGTATAATGAATAAATATTATTGTCATATTACAATGAAAATGTCTTGAGTAAAGAAATGAAGTTCTATTCTAACTATTGGGTGTACTTGAAAAGTGTGTGTGTGTGTGTGGGGGGGGGGGGGTGAGAGAGAGAGAGAGATAGAAGTGTTCCTCCCAACCCCCTGCCAGAGACACCTGTGGTTTTGGATGTTTACATACTTCAGTACTTTCCTCCTCCTCCTCCTTCTCCTTCTCTTTTTCCTTCTCCTCCTCCTCATATAATATCACACACTGTTACTATTTCACATTATGAAAAATTTTCATAAAATCTTCTCTACCTAGAATATACTAAAGATTGATGATGGTTTTGTACCTTTTATAATAAATCATTGACAGAAAGGGTATTAAATGTGTGCCAAGATACGGAATTGCAACACATTACCATTGTGTGTAACTCCAAAACAATGCATCCTAAGCCCTTGAAACCAAGTTTCTTATTGATAAAAGTTATGTTCATTGAGACAAACTACAAAATGAGACTTTTGGAAATTCTATTATATTTTTTGCATTTTCTATTTTATTTTTTATTTATTTTTTGCCCTTCTGAATATCCCAATTGCGTAGTGTAAGTGGTTAAAAAGGAATAGGTCTTGACATGTATGTAAAATTAAATAAGCTATTTGATATTCATTGCAATTTATTACCAATGTTTAGCAATATTAGAAAGTTTACGCAAATAGAGTACCGGGTTTCTAATGTTGTATATACTTATACAGCGGGGCTGGGACTTATGAAGATGAGTTCCAGAATGCAGCCAATTTAACAATCAAAACCATGATTTTCAAAGGGCAGAATTTTCACACAAATTATTATTAGATGAGCAAATGTACACTTAAACACATTAAAAAAAAAAAAAAAATCAATAAATATAAGTATTATCAAGATGATATTACAAACATCATTTCTGAAATATCATCTCCTATATTATTACAGAAGTGTATACGAGTTTTGCGGCTCTCACAGGCAAACAATCTTTATAAATTAGGACTCTTAGAGAAGAGTTTCATGAAGACTTGACAAATTGCACTTTAGCTTTAAAACTATGAAGGATTTGTTGCAAAAATACATCTTCAATTCATGTCAAATGTGACACTACAACACTTTGACTGCATTATTAAAATCTATATAGTTATATAATTCCAAAACAATGTGTTATAGAGCCTTAAAACCTATAAATTTGAGGCCAAATGCCCGAAGAACACATTCCTCAGATAATAATCTATGGGAGGTGATCATCTTCGGACATTTCAATACATTTTTTGCTGGGTCAGCACTTCTTGATGTTTCACTCCACTGTAATTTCAATTTGGAAAGAGTGGGGTTATACATTACTGATCCTGTATTTTCATGTAGACAACTTCATATAGCTATCATATAGCTATCATATAGCTATCTTCTATTTCTATCTTAAACCTTTTCTAATATTTTTGTCTATCAAGGAAAACAAAAAGCTAACTGTCAAGGAAAATTGTATAATTACTTCATATGTTAGTTTTTCAAGACCTGTAGTGGTTCCCAGAACATCTGTCAACAATACTGAATATACTTTTATAGAAAATTTGTTTCAAAATCAATTGAATTGTTCTATTATTTTTATTTGATATTCTGCAAGTACCTTGGAAATTATCTTTATACCATTTTTTAAACAAATAATGAAGTTTCATTAAGAGCTTTCCCCTTAATATGGAAATGAGAAGGATAGGGAGGAGGTGGGGTTTAACACTTGAGAGTTCTTGTATGGGTACGCTAGTTCATTTTATTCAACTAATTTTTATCAAATTTCAACAAACTTTAAAATGATTCCCTTAGTCAAATCGTGCATACAATTTGTCTTCTAGCAAGTATTTGCACTCCCACCACTCGGATACATTTGAAAGATCAAAAACAACTGCAACATTATGAAAATTTATTTTGAAATATTAATCTATTTAATTTCTTTGAAGCAAGGCAACTTCTTTCTAACCTGGTCAAAAAATAATCACTGGATCATCACGATTATGATCATCATCACCATCATCCACTTTCCTTGTTCCCCAGGAATTTTAAAGTCCAAAAATCGATGAGTGAAAGTTAATAACATGTTGGAGGTAGTTATTAAAAGTTTAAGTTAAATAGGAGATGGCATGCAAGCATTGTAAGAATGTTATTACTTTTCACATTACACACCAGTTGCCATATCCTACCTCTAACCACTTCCGGTGGTAACTCAATAGGTTGATTTTCACAGATGATCATTTTTGGTCGTCTCAAAACATCTACAAGAAATGTTATCATTACACAGGACTAATCATCATTACATTTCATTTGAACATCAACTTTAACTACAGTAATAAAACTCTCGGAAATATTTAATGTCCTTCAAGTATTTACGATAAAGCTGATGCACAGCATCCTGTTTTATCTGTAGTAACATGTAAAATAAATGAACAAAAGAAACCTATTTGTGCAATATTAAGAAACATACACATAGTAATATTTTACAGACTATGTATTACTTGTCAATGCTAGAATGCTGTTTCTTAATAATGAAATTCAGTATGAAATTTTCCTTAGTAATACTCATTTAACCAAGATGAAATGATGAATGAAGTTGGAAAATAAAAATTACAATATTGAAATGTGACATTAGAGGATTATTATTATTTTACCTCTCTGTACTTCATAATAAAACATATAACAGAATTTAATCTGGGAGCATCCGCAAAGCAAAATGTAACATAAGAAAATGTAACTTATTTGTTGGATGTTTTAGCTGATTTCTCCTCAATCAAGAAAAAAAAAAAAAAAAAGGTTTTGAACTAACCATTCACAAAGTTTACTTAATAACATTCAGTTTAAAAAATTAATAACATTTATTTAATATTAATGCAGATTGGCTCTTAATCTGTTACGCGTGTGTAGAAAAGAAGAAAACCAATTATATCTTTTGTAAAGGTCTTAATAAAGCTGTTTCTCAGACCAAAAATACAGAATGGCCACTGCATTTTTGTCAATTTCTGAATTTTATTGTTGAGATAGGGCATGACAGTCTATATAAAACTTCTACTTGAAAAGTTCACATCGTCCTCATAAATATCAATTACCTGTCATTTACGTGATATTCAGAATCAGATTCCAAATAACCACAATATTAAATATTACAAATTTTATAATTGCCATAATTATAATAATGGCCCAAATCATGAAACTATCCAAACTACTAACATTTTACAATTATTTAAAGAGGGTGGCTCTCCACAAGATTGAATACTAACAAGTGCACGAATACAAGGAATCTGCCTAGAAGATCGCATGTTTCAATTAGTAGAAAAGGTCTAATGCGATACATTGCGTGTACTCCCAGGTTAAAAGATGGTGCAAGAAAACTAACAATACATTATTAAGAACTCTCTTATTTGAAGAGTCCAGAGCAACATATGAGAAAAATGTTCATTATATGTAAATGCTATGAATAATTAATTATTTCTCATGCACGACAGATATAGATATAAAATATAGTTTTGAAGTCATATATAAAGTTGAAAAATAGATATTTTTAACTTACGTGGTTCTGTTTCATCTTCTACCACAGCTTTTGGTTTAAATAGTTCTTTGAAATGTGGTTGACAAAATAACACTCCTTCATTGCTGCTATAATTATCAACTCTGGAAAAAAATATGGTGCTCATTATTGTAAAACTAAAATCTATTATGAAAACTGTATACACAATTAAGAAACAAGTCACCACATTTTCACTTTCTCAGCACTACATTTTACAGCTTTGCAACTTTAGACCCCACTTTCCCTACTGCTCTAGCATTCTGTTCTCTTTCCTTTCCACATGTTCACTATTATATTCTTAAGTAGTTACTTACTCACTCATTCTTTCCCACTCTCATTGCTCCTGTGCTCATTCCCACTTATATACACTTCATTCTGTTAACTTCATTTGACATAATAATGTCTAAAATTATAGTATGTGTATTTTTATTTGTTTCTGTTTTTGTTTTTTTATTTAATTTTTCCTTACTATTAACATCTGACACTATCAGGTTGCCTGGGATGGATTAAACTCCGGTTAATTATAAATGCAAAGCATGTCTAATTTAGTTTTTTTTAATCATTAAGTGCATACTTTCACAATATATTCAGAATTAATGTTCACAGAAGCAGATGCCATAAGGCATGCTTTGTCTACAGATCAGCCATTCTAAATCATGACTTGTCCTCCATTTTTCCAGTTTGTCAAGTATTTGGAGAACTTTAATACTGAAAGTGCTACTATCGCTATCTACATATGAATGCAATTTTACAACAAATACACAAACATTGGCAAGCCAAAAAACATTTCAGTCCATACATTCAGTGAATACTCAGCAGAAGCCCAGTGCATGAATAATTATATATAAATTTCTCTACCTGCAATATTTTTGAAATAGCTGCAGTTTGCACACAAATTATCCTTCATTACATAGCTAACAGAAATGAAAAAACAAAGTGATGTATGCATGCGCACGTGCTTGGAATGCATACAATATGCTTTTGAATTTGCTTTGCACACAAAGATCTCTTCTCCAAAAGCAAAGTAAGTCCACAGTACCTATATGATTTGTATTTGAATAAATGAGAAGCCAAAAACTCAGTCACTTGTGAGTGAATTTAGAGAGCTGTCCTTTAAAGACCCAAATCACCAGGCTGATTCACTTCTTCTCCACATGCTATTTTTCTATGGACTACTGCACGTTGTATTTGACGTACCTCTATGTAACATACATTTATATCAATTTACCGGCAAAATGGCATCCAAGTTGCAGAAAAAAATGTATATTAAAGAGAATATTAAAGTCTTTAAAGAATCATAAAATCTATAACAAAGTAAGACTGTTCAAAAATTTTCAATAGGCAACTTTTCAGCATGAAAAAATTATGAAGAGCTCCAGGAGATTACAAAGGTAATACAGTGAAACCTGTCTTAAGTGGTCACTAATGATTCTGGCAAAAACTGTTAATAGAGGTAGCTGCTTTAATTAAGGTTATTAAACTATTAGAAGCATAGATCAGGTCAAATCGCCCAAATTATTAAAGGGAAAACAAAACAGCCTTTCAGAGTTGTTTGTTTAGAAGACTACATATATGTTTGTATGATTGTTTAGAAGACTAAGCATAACCTTTCTGACTGCAAAGGTTTCAAAATGTTACAAAAAACAGATTACATTTTTGGGATTTTATTGTATTGTGCCCCATCACACTTGTAAATATCAGCATGTTTTCAAAATTTGCATGCCATATGTCAACTGAGAAACATTTTTGACCTCGTGAAACACTTTCCATCCTCATCACACTGAAGTCACAAGCAAACTAGACATCAAAACGCATTTCACCTTCTGTAGGAAAAGCTGTCCCACAAAATATTTTGCAGATAACCATCAGATTGGTTTCATGCATGCAGCATACTCTGCAGCCATTAACAAGTTCCCACAGATTCGAAAGGGCAGGGATTGCCAACCTTTTTCTTGTGTCAACCCATTTAAAAAGAATTGTTTGGTTCATCGACCCCCTTACATTTTTCTCTATAATATACAGCATATATAACCATGCCATCAAGAAGTATATGAAAATGACAATAATAACAATTTTGTATACTAAGATAATTAGATGAAGATTTGTCAATATCTCTATTTACATAAATCGAAAGTCCACTTCTGAGTACTTGAGTTTATTATCTACATTGTATTCAATGTTTACAAAATGTTGAGAGTTAACATAATAGCCATAACATTTCAGCAGTGTGGAGAATACTTTTTCTGGGATAGAGTAACACGAAACAATAGCTATAACATTGTGAGTTTTCTAAACATCCTATGCAAGGGGAGACTAGGTTCTCGGAGACCCAGTGTAGAAAGTCGAAATGAGGCCCCTGTCTGCGAGTACTTAACATTAAATTAAGAATTTAAAGTCTAATAATAAAGAATATGGATTTACAAGGGAAAAAATAAGCCTGGAATGCCATTTGTTGAATTATTTGCCAAACCTTGTCTGCAGAAATTTTTAAGAGACCCCGACTTCAGGGATCCAGTGAGGTGTATCAGTTTCTAAGTCTAGCTACGCCTAACAAAGTCTAGCCACAAAAGAAGACAAGAAAATTTGTAACTTATTATACATTTTGTCACTTTCTAACAAAAGATCATCTTTGATCCCTTTCAAAATTTCATTGATACCAATCCTGTTGAGAAACCTTGCTCTAGGCTAATAAGGGATTTAGCAAACTTCATGAGAAAGCGCGAATATAAGCAACATGAACATGTTATTTCATCAACACCTTCATTAAATCATATATTTGAGCCATAAATAGAAATCAAAACCTTGCCAGAATAGTGACTGTCTAGGTAACCTGACTATGCATCCTGTTACAGGAAGTCACAGAATCAATAGTATATCCACTGCACTTGCATTTCTAATTCTCGTACAGTTCAAAATCTTTAGAGGAGACTGCTTAATAGATGATAATCTATGAAATGTGTCTGGCTGCTGACTGCGAGGCCAAGTGGCCATTCTAAACAGAATTTTTACATGTGCCTTATGGAAAAATCAATCAGTTTCACCCCACCACCACCACCACCACCAAAAAAAAGGGGGGGTGAGGCTGTTAATAGAGGTGACCGCTTAATCAAGGTGGCCACTTGATCAGGTTTCACTATATTAAAAAGAAAAGAGAAAGATAAGACTTTGTGAAAATAAGAGGAGCATGAAAAGTAAGATGAAGGGATGAAGAAGACTAGAGGATTGGACAAGAAAAAAAAAAAAATTAATCTTACTCCACATATATAACGGACGTTTAGAGTGTAATTAGGTTTGTTATTGAACTATAAAATAAAATTATATTACAGCAAAATGGTGTAACTAATTGACTTACGTTAACTGTTTATTGCACTCTTTGCATCTAAAGCAATTCTTGTGCCACATAGCACGTTCTGCTTTGATTTGCTCCATCTGAAACACTTGCTTTCCGCATGCTCGGCAGTTACTGGCAATTTCAGGAGAGGATGTTGCAGTCTGATAACATTAACATAAAATAAGAGAAATTTAATCTCTCAGATAGTAAATACCTATTTTTCTTCTTTAATTACTATACATTTCTTTATTTTTACAGTATTATACACACCTGATTGAACTGTTTTTGAACTTTAGATGTATCAACTGATCTTACATGAAGTACAGTCTTCTTACTCATTTGGTCAAACTTCGAGAAGCTCGATTTCTAGAGAACAAGAATTACAAGGTTAAGTCACAAAGCCACCTTCAGCATAATAACAGTACACTGAGACAGTAATAAAATCAAATCATTTTGAAGTATTTAAATATGTTCATTTACTATATTGTATATCATCTAAAATGCATAAAATAAACAGAAGACTTCACATAAAAGACATCATAAAAAATTGAAATGAATACATTAGTAAATTTAAAGAACTAAAAACTGTAAATAACCTAGAAAAGTACATTCATGCTAAGAAATTCAGAAATATTATGGTAGTAAGTGTTAGTAACATTTATAAAAGTAGATTCAACAAAAAGTAACCACATGCAATATATCTCCAATAGTGGCCCAGTCCATGTTCCTACAGAGCTGTTTGCAACAAGATGTAAGATTGGTGCTCCCATGAATGTATTGATTTAAGTATACTTCTAAAATAAACAGTACTATGAAGAAATAAAGCAAAGAATTCATCCACAATCAGCATGCATAACTAACACAATGCACTGCAATACAGACAGTTATGTTTAGGTTAAGAAGTAAATACAAATAAAATTATATTAATACATTGACAATATTTACAAACTTAATACTGTATTTTTTTTAAATCATCTCCATCTTACTAAGGAAATAAAAATAAATTTAAGAAACATTCACACTTTTTGCAAGAATTTATCATCACACAATTCTGTGAATTTAATTCAACTAAATATCAAAAATTTGAAAGTCAGAATCAAGAAAACTTTAAATCATTCATCATAATGAAACACCATCACTGATGTGACAATCAACATTCACTTCACTCACCTAGGTACAAACCACATTCTACAATTTTAAGCCCCCCCCTTTTAATCATATCAACATAAGAAAAATTATTTTATTAACTACTTATTCTTATATTATCGTTTCTTATAATATCAACCTATTCTTAATAACTTCTTTAATTCCTTTTGGTTTCAACATCTTACGATACAATCATTTGCAATTAGTTGCACACAGTGACTAAGTTATAAATTTATTTTTCTTTCTGCCATTTCCTTAACAATAACAATTACTAATGTTATTATCAAAGTTTCTTTCCAAAATTCTTGAACATTTTGTACAACCAGAAAGAAAGAATGTAGAAACTTCAAAAGGTTTTCTGAAAATAGAGTTGTAATTTTTTCCATGTAAATATTCAATAATTAATTTCTTCTGAAGTATGTCATTTAGCAGTAGAACATTTTTTGAAAATACTGAGTATCCTGTGTGATTTTAGAAGAATAAAAATCGCAAAATTGAAAATTGTGAAACAAAGTCCTTGTCTGCACAAAGTCACTTGTTCAAATTTTTAAGGAAAAAAACAAAAAAAAAAACAAAAACAACAACAACAAAGAACAAAGATTATATCGTTCTTTGCTACTTTACTTATATAAATCTTTTAATTAACAATACAGAGGTAATCCTACACATTCACAATTGTGTGTGTATAAGAGAGTGGCTGTTAAAAACTGAAGGTAAAATTTTCTTGCTTCTACCCTTAGATCAGTTCAGAATGCAAGAAAAATGGGCTTAATTTCAATTGATTTTAATAATAATAACAACAATTTTTATTACTATTTTTATTACTACTACTACTACTACTACTACTAATATTTTTATTACTACTAATATTTTTATTACTACTAATATTATTATTACTAATATTATTATTATTTTTATTATTATTTTAACCCTGCCAAGAAAAGTTGAAATTTAAACCACTCTCATCTTCAGACTTATCACACTGAGTGTTATAATTCTTATTTTTCTTATATTATTCTTATTTTTCAATATTTTGACACGACAATGTAAATCCTGAAATTAAATGTGGTCGCTGAACACCAATCTAATGTCAAACAATATTTTTTTAATTTTAAACACCTTTGTTTATAACTTCCTTATTTTCAAATGTCACTAAAATTGACAGATATAATGACAGTTTTATTTAAGTTTTACAAATGCAAGCCAACTGCAAGCCAAACAGCTAATTAGGAATTTACAGTGCATTTAGCGTTAGACATGCAAAAACAACAAAGCGTACACTAATACAGTTACGAAACCTGTAAAAACCTAAGTAATTTATTTTAGAACATCTCTGATGATCGAACATCAAAAATTCAATGCCTTTCTTTCTAGTCAAGTTGGCATTTTTGAGTAAAAATTACACTTTCAGATGCATGGACACAATTATTAGCCCCTTAATTAATCAAGACTAAATTGTGCACAAATACAGTGAAACTTCATACCAGTAAATATTATCAGAGTAAAACTAAAAATAATTTATCATAATCATAAAGTCAATTGGTCAGAAAAGGCAATTAAGGAAAATACAGAGAAAAATCTACAAAAACAGAAAAAGCATATGAAGTGAATAAAGAGGGTCAATTAAGGTTTAGTTTAGGATACAAATCCTCTGACAAATTGAATTCAGAGGTTTGAAACTTTGTAAGGAGTAAAGACAGGATGTGATAAACATTTTCCTATTACAAGAATTGCTTATTTTCAACATTAGTTACCTTTAAAAAAATATGACGTAATTATTTATGGAGAATGGCAATTAATTTTAAGAAGTCTTTGTTCTATCCCTTCTGTTATTTCTGTGTATATTATTTTTGTATCACTATTTCCATTTATTTTAACCTCACTGGGCTTACTGCAGTTTCACTATATTCCAATTTTAGATGACCTTTATTTTAGAAGATTAAAGATTTTAGCTTTCAAATACACAAGCCAAAAGCTTATTCCATGAATTGTCTTTTTACCAATGATGATGCACATATTAATATGGACAAGTTGCCTGAACTGCAAAAATATAAAGATGCACTGTCTCTCAAAAGAAATGAGAAAGTTGAAAAGTCAATTAAAAAAGTAATTTTCAGAAAAAGATCCCAAGTGCAACAATGTTAGATGCATTTAAAAAAATTTGAGATTTGCACATAAAGACCAATAAGAGCTGAGTACCTGTGAGTTCAGCACCCATTATTACTATTTGAGTCATCATTTTGAAATACCCCTCACGACACACACAACTACTCACCAATTTTTCTATAGAGATTCCAGTAATAATCTCCTCAATCCCATTACAAGTCTGTGATTTATGAAATGCTTTTGATGCCTCATTACAATAAGTCTCTTTCTAAACAACACAACAAAATTATCTTAACACAAAAATTAAAAAAAATTAATTAAAAAGCTTGAGGTAAATATTGCAAAAAGCACAAAGCTGCAAAAAAAATCAATGTAAATATACTCATGCTTGCAATCACAAAGATATTTTTTAAACAAATAAAAGTACTGAAGAAACATATTAATGACTAAGATTCTTTGGAATTTGTTACTCAATACATGTCTCAATACATAAATATGCAAATATTTCTTTAAAAAATCTTTATATTATTTTCTAAAGCTATTCCTTTCTACATAAAATAATTTCCCTTGAACATTTGACAAAGGAAAGCCTTGCCTTCCAAAATTGGGGAAAACTAAATCAACTTGGAAACAGATAATAAAAGAAATATAAGAGCACACCATATAAAGCAATCTTATTGTCACTGTATTGATTTTGCTTCTCGAGTTTGCCCTTGCTGGAACTCCATATTTCATTCCAACACTTATGCACTATTTGAAAGGAGTGTGTTAATTTGTATTTCACACAATATATGTAACAGAAATTATTGCAAGCAGAAGCAGAGACTGATATAAAACATACTCTTTATTATTATATTTTTTTCTTAGAAAGGGACTTAAGTATATTCGTTAGTTTCAAGTTTACGATTTCCAGTTTACAAGGTATTGTGTATAGCAAACATTTGGAAGAAATGGTAAAATACATTTTAGAATTAATTGGTACATCTTCACGAGACTTCTTCCATTAATATTTAAAATGAAATGCTATTCACATTGCAGTAAAACACAAATACAAAATCCTTATATTCATATAGGATTTTTTATATTTAGATAGGATTTTAGTCGAAAAAATATATAAAATATTTCAAAATCCAGCTATAATAAGACATTCCAATATAGTAACATCCATTTAACTTAAATATATTATTTGCAATTACATTCTCAAGTTAGAATTTATCAACAGAATTTTCTAAATTTTTGAAAGGTTGGTGTGATAAAACCAACTTTAAAGAGAAGCTTTAATGAAACCTAATTTCCAAAGAAAATATCAATAAAATTAAAACTTTTAACCACAAAATAAAACCTCTTTAAGAACATTCTTTACATTACCATAAATTTACATTTGGAAGGCAAGGTCCTCATTTGGAAAATGTCATTCGAAATGCATTCTAAAAGAAATATTCAGAAGACTTAACACCGACTTACAAATAGCAATTGAAATATCAAATGAATTAATTTACCCAAATCATTAAAATAATGATAATCAAGTTTATTCAGATTTGTTTTTAAGTCACTTTGGAAGAAACCTGTTTTATTCAGTAATATACAATGTAAATCATGATAAGTTAAATTGGCGCAGATTTACATTTTATTTTGAAATATATATAAAATATTCACTAAAAATTTCTCTCATTATTAATGTAAAGTTAGTAAATCAAAAATACTTAAAAGAAAATGCTTTTAAGAGGAAAGGCCAAAAAAAGCTAGATTCAAGCATTTTTACAGTAAACCTACATTGAAAGGATGGCGAAAGAAAGAGACTAGAAGAGTATTGCTCAAAACCAAACAATGTAGTGAACTAAATATTCATAGAGTAATATTGATAAAATAGATTTTCCAAGATATATCTAATATTTAGCAACCGTATTTTTATTTTATTTTTTTCAGATGATTGGATGGTTACTTAATGTAAAGTGTTATAAAGAGGCCGTAGAAGTATTTTCGAAAAATAAGTGAAACAGAAGCAAGTATTTCAAAATATGTATTTGAATTATCATAATTATCTTCAGAAATTGAACTAAAGTGAACCATTTCACAAATCATTAGCAAACTTACCAATTCTTTTACTGACACATTGGATAGCTCATCTAGTTGCTCCTGGATATCAAGTCTGCTATTACCATTTGTTTGTATGTTAGTATCTGATTCCAATGAAATTTTCTCATTGCTAGCAGTGGTCTAAATGGAGTTAGAAGAAAAACCACATACACGTAGGTTAGTGAAACACTCCATAACAAATCATTCTATAGCCACACATGGTAAGGCAACAATTTAATCACAAAAATTAAACTCATAAAACAGAACTTTGTAAGGTAAAATAGTGCAAATCACTCATAATTCAATGTTAAAAATGCCAATGCTTTAAAAGATGTTTTATTCAGATTGTAGGAAAAACATTGTTTTGTTTTACTTTTGACATCACTCACAATCTCAATATATTTCAACACTGTCATGGTTAGATAAAATAATGTTTGTAATTTTATATCATATGGAAAGATGCAAATACTAAATGCTAGTATTTTTAGTGTTAAAAAATGTTAGTATCAGTTTCCTCATAGAAAAAGTTGTGACAATAAAATGCCCCAAATCTCCAATAAATTGTATTACCTATTTTAAGAAGTAAACCTACGGGTATCTTTAAATACAAACAACTGGCAATACCAATCTGCGCAAATTATCTGCAAGACGTGATGCATAATTCATGTGTGTCCTCGATTAAGCAGATTCATATACAAAATGGAGGAACTATTTTTTATCTCAGGGTTTGTAAATAACAACTCTTAAGATGACAACTTATGGTATTGTACTTGTTTTTAGTATGGTTCTTGCAACACAAACCAATTCACTATTTAGATAATTTCTTTTGACTTCATTTGACTTTCTTCAGAATAAACCTAACATTTCCATAGCTCACATATCTAAAATATATCATACGATTAAAATATACTCTTCAGTGTTGGTCAAATTATTTAGTGTGCTTAAAACCTGATACAGTGTTTTTCAACTGACCCCAGATAACAATTAATTTTATCAACAATTTTTAATACAACAAGATGTAAATACTAATTCAATAATAAATGTTTGTGAAAGACATGGAAGATCGGAACTATAAGAGACCAAATGTGAGACCACCATGTATTATCTTTCATCAAATATTTGAAGATCAATTCCAGACTAAGAAAGAGAAATTACACGTACACAATTTTGATAAATCTTCTACAGTTCTATAGACATCAGTGCAAGCATATACATTGGGGTCAAGTGAAACATTCCCATTCATGAAACCCCAGAATGTAAGCGGAATATAGTAAATAAATTCTGGATTTTCTGGTTTCCTTCTGCCATATTTTCGTTAATACATAATTATATAAGGTGTTAATATACTTTGTATCAAACATCTCTAATAGGTGAGAATTAAATCTTTGAATTATTCTTTGACACTGTCATTATCATTATTATTTTTACTATTTATTTCATTTTAGTCCAAAGACAGAAAGAAATAGATACCTTAAGACTGGTAATTCGTAGCTACTACACACTATTCATTGTACTCAAATTCTGGATTGAGCACGATTTTATACATTCCTTTCTATTTGATGCAGGATATAGAAACTTGTTCAAGTTACTAAAGAAATATTATATAAGTTGACAAAAGACCTTTCAAGGGCCCAGTGATTAAATTATTCTTCAAAAAGGTTTTACCCCAAATCCTCACTTTAGTCCTTTGTTCAAATGCGAGTTACTTATCAATTGCAGCAACAATAGACATGATCGCGTCGCAATACTCTCACGTGTCAGCTTTAAGAGCGGCAACATTCGGAGCACCCTCTCCCCTCTTCCATATCGACCGCCACACCGTCCTCGCCTTTTCGCGCGCAACGTCACAAAACCTTGGAAATCAAAACCCGAAAAATCACCACTAGACTAGAGCCAACACGTTATGTCGAACACTGACCTAATAATGTGCCAAATCAAAAATAAAGTAAAAGCTGGCATAAGCACGAAAGGGATAGGAGTTACTTATTCTTTGCTAGAAAAAAGGAACAACAACAATTGGAATCTATCTGGATATGCAATGCATATTTCAAATGACATTTCCGATCTGGTAAACTATTCCTTGAAATATGTGGGTCTGAAAAGTTTTATCTCCATCGCAAATCCATCGCATTGTCCTTTTGAAACAGAGGAACACTCCGACACTTTTTTATCGCCAAAACAGTTTGAAGAGTACTCATGTTAGATATCTTGAGTCAAACCCTCAAAAGGCAACTAGATGCTTGATAACACACTCTTTCTCATATTATTTGTAACATTTAGCAATTTCGATAATTGAGAGTCGAACCCGCGTCGTTAATTTTATAAGCGAGCTTTCGCACTCAAAAACACACATTTTTGAGGCTACATTGTTTACAAAATTACCTTTACTCCACTCAAAATTACGGAAAAACTACTTACATTATGAAAGAATTGAACATAATCTCTTTTAAAGAAGATTGAAGAACAGATTCCATAAGAATCTTCTTAATACTGCAGTTATAGGAAGACGCAGAAAATATTTGAACGTCCGCAATATTCGAAAATTCAGACAATTCAATGAAAATCGGGCATATGCTATCTTTATGAACGTACTTTACTCTATCCTAATTTGGAGCCTTTTTGAGAAAATGTTTAGGCTTCATGTAAGGTAACCCCCTAAAACCAAAATAACAGTTTCAAATTTAAGGAGACGCGACACCAAACAGATCGATCGAAGAATATCCGTTTCGGCGAAAATCCTGCCTAAGGTTTAATCACTAGTGTTGTGGGCGGACGAACGTTTTGCCGCAATCCAATTTTTAGGTATCAAGAGCCCACTGATCTTGGATTCTGACTACACAACGCGTTAAAAGAATTTACAACACACGAACTCGCATTAACCTCTATTAACAAAAGAACTTACATCTTGGAATAACGTTCATAGCGACTTCAGTACGCCAATGAATCTGATCCTCGATTATTTCTACTATTAACAATTTTCTTGAGGACATGACAAACAGAAGGTAGGCATTAAGTGTTCATTCTTATTAGTCAGCTTTCTCTTTGGGAACTATCGACATGCCTGAAATAATATTCCATAATGCGAACGTCATACACCGAAAAGTGATGTAAGTCAATTGTTGGAGGAGGGGGGGGTCAATCAAACACGAACTCAAGTTCACAAGAGAATTTGGCTCATATCCCTCCTCGTGCCCTACGTGGGTGAATATACTCGCTAAACCGAGAAAACAAAAAGTCTTTTGTACTAGATAATACTTTCAGGTGTCAGTTGACGGTTTGCAACGCATGAACAAGTTTGAGAGGAGCCTGCAGTGTTTGGACTCTGCGATTAAAACGTAAGAACAGTCTGTTCACTACAGAATTTCCAACGAATTTATGCAAAAGTACTCATTTCTCTAATCTATCTACCTTTTGCTTCGATTTACTGATATCGTGGCTTACGAAGTAGTAGAAGTTTTGCTGTTATATTTTTCTCACCCTATTCTGGGTGAGTATTTTACTTTAATTTTGTGCTATATTTATTTGTTAGCGTTAATTTAAACCAATGCATTTGGGAATAATTTAATTTTTGTTTATATGTTACCAAATATATCATAAAACTTATAATCTTGTCTTTTAGGACTGTTAAACAGATGAATATTATATAGTATGAAGATGGAATGCATCAATTCCCTAAACATCATTTTGAATGTTAAATATTATATATAATTTTCATTTAATATAAAGAAATTAATTATTTTGGATTGTGTCTCGTATGAAGGAAGAATTTTTTTATTACTAATTGACACGGACAATTATATACCGTAGCGTGGCAGATCTATCTGAACGTGGTATAGCGAGTAGAATATGTGAGAGAATAAATTATCTTGTAGCTATTAAAACCGAGTTTTTTCGCATGAGTTTTCGATGTGTCAGCAATGAATCAATATAGTAGTGTCCTTGCGAAGCTCATTAAATAATTTTGACAACATATTACAATAGGATTTTTTTGGATGTATGGGTGACTGCGGACTAGGTTTGCTAGGAAACCACGTGCGTTTCCTTCGGGGATACTGAAACACCAAGCACTGTCTTCGTAATTAACCACAGAGACTCGTGAAAAGATCTTACTTTTCAGACCAATATGTCTATACGGTGGAAACAAACGTTATGTTCACATTTTAACAAAAATTGTTCGAAAATGTAAACAAGAAAATACTCTAAAACAAGTAAGCGCAAAATTAAATTTAAGGTTGTATAAAATTAGACGGGTAGATAAGGAGATGCCTTTGGCACCCACTACAATGGCCCCACGCACTATACCATATTCAGATATAGCCTCCACGCTATGATATCCGATTAGCAAAAGACAAACGTAACAGCAAATACTATTCACAACTCCCCCTCAGTCGTCGCGTTTTAACATAAACCTCTCTCAATATCGGCACTTGTAATTACTCCCAGTTGATTACGTACGTACAACAGGTAATCTGAATAGCTCAACGAGCTAGAATATACTATATTATAGCCCGTTGGAATAGCTACATGAACTTCAACACTAGGGGCATGCAATTCATCTATTCTATAATCTGAAGTGACAACACTGCAAACGCCTGAGCTGCTGATGCCTAGGTCACAATATCTTGTTACTACGGGACCAGGAATTCTCAACCACCTCATTTTATAGAGAAAGTTAATTTAGTGACCAAAGACCTTTTGCACAGGGTAGCGTAAAATGTTACGAGGCAACCACGTGCCCTGTATCGCGTGTAGTGTAAAAATACTTTTTGCACGTATCGGTCTAAATAGTAGTTACGAGTTGTGAAGGAAGAGTGAGCTGTTAACCTGTATCTAGGGAGTCAATAAATTCCCATTATGACATAGGTGTCTCTGTCATGTAAAGGTGGGTATCAAATTAAGACATTAAATGCTAATAACTATAGCATTTTCAGTTTAAGCTAAGATTTTTCAAATTTATTAGAGTTAAAACCTAAACGGGATAGTTAATACAGGATTTTAAAACGCAGGCTCATGAAGGTTGTTTTACATCTACCCGCCAGTTCGGGAGCTTCTTGACAATATTTCTTGAAATCACATTTTGACTATTTCACTAATTAACAGCAAACTAAAACAAATGAACAAATATCATCGTAATGTTTCACTGAAATTGTCTTTAGAGAAAAGTAAATTAGTATAAAACTACTTTTTATACTCTAAAACATTGAAGGGTACGTGCCCTTCCCGAGAGGACCGTGCATAATGCTACTTGCTGATGATTCGCATTTGTTCGACTAGAGCAGTTCCAACTACTGCTCTGTGCTTATTGTTATAGTATACAACAGTATTTATAATTAAATATTTAGACCAATACCACCAACATGATAATGCACCATAGAAATTCAGTTAGCAGCACAACTCTTTTTTGAAATTTCTGGGTTGAAAGTACTTTCGTTGAAACGGAAAATTACTAAAATTGAGGCAAATATTTCCACTTAGTCCTTGTTTCCATTTCAAAACTATTCAAGTCTGACTTATCAATCGGCGAGACAACTCAAGTGTAAAAAGCCAACACTAGCATATCCTTCACCTAATATGTTAATATAGCCAATAACTAATCACTTTACCATTTCTATCTCATTGGCAGGAATTCAAATGAAATTTGGCGCTACTGCAACGACATATGGCGATATAATTCGGAAGTTATGAGCGGTGCGAAATGGGGTTTCGCAGTTTGAAAGATCGGGGCTATAGTCATAGAAATTGAATTTGCAAAATACAGAAGCATCGAACTGGCTTCCGAAAGTTTAGTTTGTTTCGCGGCAGGCCTGATTTTGCATAGCGGCTCGGAACAAAAAATAATGATAATATTGAAATAAATTTTGCATGGCAATCCATTTAGAATTTTTTTAAAATTGCTTTGCGATCCTTTTTAATAAACTACAATTAGCATATTGTTTAAGTAAAACATTTTTGACAAACTATTGTAGATCCGAGACACAGATATAATAAATGCAACAAAGATGGACACAGAATCACGTAACTGAAACGCAACAGAATGTTGACTTTTCATAATATTTGAAAGATTTCTGGGAACACAGAGGATCTAATCTTCGAGACACACAATGTAGGATTCCGAAAAAGCAGTGTGCCTAAACGACTAAAAAAATTTAAGAGGAACTAAACTGGATTCTTGCATGGAACGTAGCAACCATGGAATGAAGGATTTCTATCTCTACACTTAATCTTCAGCTCAGTGGGGGAATTTATTCAAATCGTTCGAACTCAGAAGGGAAAATAACAAATAACCGTTCTCCGTGTTCTCGCGGCAGTACTAAGTCGATCGATTACTCCACGAAGGGCACGATGAGGGATAACAGCCAAAATCTGTAGCTGATTTGTCTTTGCACAGTTGTTTATTTCCGGGAGCGAATCTTTTCTCAACAATTCTTACCAAAAACGCTCCTTGATCCCTGTATGCATAATTCACCTTAATATGTATACAAGCGAGGGTAAAGATCCCAGAGCTCAAGAAACATAGTCCATAAGATTTCACTTTTCCCCGTAACATGTCACACACAATTTTTAACTATTTTCACGATTAATTATTTAAACCAGTGACAAAAATCACATACAGCCCCAAATTTTACTTAGTGGCTCCTTCAGGGTTACCGTAAAATCACTTCGCTGTCCCCAAGAGTAGCGCAGACCCCAGTTCGTTACTTATAATAAAATTCATTTCTAGAGTATTAAATAAAAAAAAACTGTTTTACTGTTCTTTATAATGAATAATTAATATGGAAGGTTGACTTTGCCCCGTTATTTTTGACTGGTTGCCTCTTGTAGTTTATATTTTTTGGTTGCTGTCTCGTACGTCGAATCCTATAACAGTTCCAAGAATCATGGTGAAGAACATACTTCCTCGTATTATTTCTAAATTTGCAATTTTCGAAAATTCAGAGAGTTCAACGAAAATGAGACCTGCGTCATTCTTTTAACCATTCTTTTATTATATCCGTGGAAAAATTTAAAGCAAAGTTTGGAGCGGTTTTTGAAAAAAAAAAAGAAGTTTTTAATTGCCTATATTTCGCGTCAAATTACAGGAAAACTACTTATATTTTCGAAACATTGAACATTAACTGATTTAAAGATTCTTCTCAAATGAACAGATCTCATTAAGCAATTTTCAAAAAATCTGGGAAATTGAGATTCCCAGAGTCAACGAATTTGAGACCTGTAATATTCTCTTAAGAGTCCTTTACGCCATCCAAAGACAAAGTTTGATAAAAAATTGTGCAATTTTTGAGAAAGTTTTGAATATGTTTTTGAGGCTTCATGTGAAGTAACCTCAAAAATCAAAATATCCATTTGAAACTTCAATATCCTTAAGTTCATTCACATCGAATGGGGAGTATTAATTTAAAGAAAATCGGCTGAACGGTTTAGTAGCTAGCGTTGACAGAGAGACACGGACAGACATGTTTTGCCGTCAATCGATTTTTAGGTATCAAGGACCCACAAAACATTGATTCTGGCTACACCACGTGTTAGAGGACTTTTTCTGTATCTAGGATCAGGAATTATTCACTTTTTTTTTTACCTCGGCCCGGTAATAAGAGTTTTTTTGCCGAAATTTTGCAGTGTTCTGGAACACGTTTACACAACTTTCTCTTCTTACGAAGTGCATTCGCAAGGACGAGAAAGTAAAATAAGTCGCTGCCATTTGGAGGACTTTCTATCTCCATCCTCTTTAGGGTCGGACGTCAGGATCGTTATAGTATATCCCCATGTGGCCCTTTGACCTGTAAACTTGTGCGACGGAGGAGAGAATTGTATTAGGTTCGCTCGACCTTCCACGACTTCAGCATGTTATGAGTTGGAACCGGATTTCAATGCAAATGCATATTTTTCCCCTTTAGTCAGGAAGTATGATCAATTGGTATGTCCATGACACACTCTCTATCCAATTATTTCAACATGATTTTATGACGCACATATTGCATATTTTTCCTGTTTTCTTAATAAACATTTTTCTGTAAACTGCTACTGTCTATTTGGACATTGCGGTTATATTGCCAGCTAAATTAAATTACTCGACCGTGCGTAAGAAGCGAGTTTCTGAAATAACAGAATAAGTGAAAATATATTACATAATTACCAATCAGCATGTTGCGCAAGAATTTATAACATCTTGACATTCCGAAATTGACGATTCCAAATTTTCGGCAATTTTAAATGTAATTTTTCCAACGCTATACATTTTTAGGTGACCTCCAAGACGGCAATCTAGGTACAGTTAATCGAATTCAGAATGATGAGCAAAGGAGACGACTCATTTTCTCACAATGCATTTTGACGTAGTTGAATTGACTCAAACATAACAATCCAAGTGTTGCTGGTCTCGTGCTCCAAGGCAATTTACGAGAGCCATCAGCTCAGTCACTGGCTTAAAATGTGGATTTTCAGTGAACGTACATATGCCAACACATGGAAATCACCACAAAAATCTAAGTGAAATGGTTATTTACTGTAGTTACTTTTTCTTCGCGTCGGAGAAAAATGACTGCTCTGAAAATTTTTCGCTTCCTATCGGAAAACAATTTACTCTTTGTCCGCGGGTGTTTTAAATCTCACTTGTGTAAACTACATGAAAGAGATTAAACGGCAATTAAGAGACTTATTCGAGCATTACGAATGCAGAACACTGCACACGTTTGGCGAAACTAATGAAATACTGAACGACACAAATAATTACAAAGAAAGACCTAACTGAATTGTTATTAATTAAAAAACAATTTTATTCCAACTCCAGCACAAAAATTCTAAAGAAAAATATATGCATACAATACATCTATTTTCTCAGAAACTGAAAGATTGCAAAAAAAAAAAAAAAAAGCTTTTAATCCGTATACACTAATAAAGGGTTTCGGATAGAACTCAGCAATACTATTAATAAACGAATCGCATTTTAATTTGTTGCCATTGACCTCATTCGCCTGAAAAAAAAAGCAGCATTCTACACAAAACCGCAAATGAAAACACGAATAGTTGAATTCTTTGGTTGAACTTTCGAGACCTACACAGAAGATAATTATTTACCCCATTCTTGATCAATTTTGTCCAGAACAATGTTCTATTGTAAAACTAACTTTAGGAAATAAGACTTGTTCAAAAACCAAGAAGAAGCATGCAGTTAAAAATACCTCCCCTTGATATTAAGACTGCCAATAAAAATAAATAACCGAGGAACGTAGTGAAAATATCCAGAGCAAAATAATATCTAATATCAAGGCGATAGCGAACTCGGACCGACGGATCGCGGGTTCGGGTCGCGTCTCGGACATCGTATTTGTGTTCGTCCTTTCACCCCGTATTATCACTATATAATGCCATGTCATCTTCACAGGTACCATACTGTTAAATTGTGGTCGCTAATGTCCTAGATGTTGATGCGACCTAAACACAAAAAATCTGTAACTGAAAGTTTGTAGAACAAACGTCTTGCGAAATGTTTTCACGGCTAGGAACGAAAATATTAATCAAAATCTTGTTTGTTCTGGAGAATAAACTGCAGCACGTCTAGTTTTGACTTTTGCCAACGTTCATTCACGCCCTTCTCCGTGTACTGTCAATGTCTATTTATTATTTTGTCGTGGTAAGGTAACGTCATTACTGATTATACTACATTAGCATCGTATTTTTAAAAGGAAAATCATATAGTTTTCAGTTTGTACGTTATATTATGTTTGTTTCGTCTAGGGTAAAATTTCTCTAAATCCACTGAAGAGTTTTTCCATCAGTAGGGTACTAGACTGTCATACGAGAAGAGTACATGCCTTATATTTAAGAAAAAAGTACTTTTTGTCGCTTGTTGGAAAATACAACCTTCTGTTTTTTATTTTATGAAATTCCAAAAATGTATTGTCATTTTTTGTTCTCTATTTTCTTCTTTCTGAACCGTTTCCAAAAATTTTTATGAGCACATTTGAAAATATCTTCGATTTTATGTTAAAACTTTTTTGGGAATGAAAATAAATGCTCAATGATAAAACCGTTTCTAAATGGGGTATTATTAATTTTATTTCACACATAAAAATTATGTTTCAGATAATATTCAACAAAACCATATAAAGCATGAGCTAAATAGTTATTTATGTATCATCTAGGGTGTGAAGTAGATGTTTCAGCTCCGAGAGCGACTTGCAACACAGTGAGCCTCTGGCCCCAGGGGTTGAAGTCGCCAGAGGGGTAAAAACAGCTAGCAACGCCCGCGGTGCATACCAAACTTTTTAGTTTACTAGTTTGTTGCTGAATCGAACGAGACTTCGCAACGTTTATACATTTGCCTAGGATCGAAAATCAACAGAAGCATTCCAATCTTCAGTTGTCCATATGACTTCAGAGAAACAAAAGGGTGTGTACCTAATTACGATTGCATAATCGTGTTGGACTGATTTGTTCGCACAAAATTAAAGAATATTGCGACTTTCCTGTAAAAATTCTCGCTAAATATAAGTCACGGACAGTTGCTTCAATGAAAATCTAGAGAATATATAAAAATATGGTGTATTTGAGAGTTATATGGAAAATAATAGTGTGAATTGCGCTGATGAAACAGTACTTTTAGGCCTCTACTTTTTTGCCTCTACTGCCGAAAGTTATTTAGAATATTTTATAACATAAAAAAATAATATTTTGAGGATATTAGCCAATGTGCCTTATTACTACTAGTAGTATTACTACTAGTAGTACTACTACTATGCAGCATATGAGTCTCTAAAGAGGTGTTACGTAAGAATGAAATGTGTGTGGAGTGAAGTGACTGATGAAAAGTTCACAAGAACATTCCAAAATTGCAATTTATATATCAGTTAAATAAAATAAGGTTTGTAACGAGTTATTTTACTTATTTCAGCATTATGCCATTTATTTATTGTATTTTTTTAATAATTTGAACTTTAATAAATCGAATTCATAAAAATGTTATTTGTTTCGTTGGTAGCGGAGCAGGCATTTAGTATTCGAAAGGTCCGCGCAGGCATAAAGTATCAGAAAGTCCCGCAAGGGTATTAACAATACCGTTACGTGGTTTGTTTAAGGTACGTAAACACACAGCAATGTACTAGGAAACCATAAAAAACGTTTCAAACGGTGAAATATTTATTTGGAAAATTAATTCAGTTGCACTGCGAAGCACTGCATGCAATCATTCAAGGCAGCAGCGATCGAGGCCAACACCGCAGGTTAACCCAAAGAGTTATCTTGCCAACAATTCCTATCCTCGCATAGTGCGCTGCCAAGCAGAAACGGCAGCAACCCTACTCACAGTCGGATGGTAATTAGTCTATCTCACTCTTAAGCCCTTTGCAATCTCAGCCAGCTTGTGATCTCACAGGCAATTTATGTTTTCACAAGGTAAGCTGGTATCATTTAACAACCAACAAACGTGGATCTCACGCATAGAAATCAAAATAAGAAGCTCCTGCACGTATAGTATTGACTGAAAGCAGATAATTAATACATCAGGATCAGAAAACACGTCACATTCAGGAGCGGGACCTGGATCAGCCAACCTAGAGCAACCAACGGTACCGACCACTGCTCAGATAAGCTGGAGAATTCGAGCCGCCCCAAAACACGCCGACTTCAGACCAAGACGCGCACACAAATCGAGCAGCCCTGATGAACCCCAGGAGCAGCCGACGCGGTCGGATCAGCTACCCACGCAAACACATGAGCCACGCGCGCAGCACACAATCGCACCGCTTATTGCGTCTAAGGAAGCTGAAGTCAACACTGCACCTATTATCGCGTCTAAGGGGGTTAAAGTCAAACATCTCGCTTATTATCGCTTCTAAGGGGGAGGGGGGGGGGAGACAACACCACATCTATTATCGCATCCAAGGGCGTTAAAGCGAACACAATCCTTATTATCGCGTCAAAGGGGTTTAAAGCCAACACCGCCCCTTTTATCGCGTCTAAGGGAGTTAAAAAGCCAACACAGAGCCTAATATCGGATCTAAGGGCGTTAAAAAGCCAACACCGCCTATTATCAAGTCTAAGGATGTTAAAGACAACACCGCATCTATTATCGCGGCTGAAGAGTCAAAAGCTAATACCGCGCCTAATATTGCGTTTACACTAATCGCTCGTAGCGGCAAGCGTTACGGCAACGCCTTACGGCTCGCGGTGGTTGGGAGGGCGCGGGATCGATTCCCACCGGGTGCCAGAAATGTGCCTGATGTATTTAACATTGGCGAGTTGGTGGCGCCGGTCGAAATGTTAATTCTCAGGTCGATTGCTCTGATCAGAGGTTTCCGAGTTTTCCATGATCGCTTCCAGCCAGGAGCAGCACCCTAGTACACGGGCCACGGACTGCGCGGGTAGATTCAGTCTATTCTGTCCCCATTCCTCATAGTTAAGGCCGAGCGATGAACCAATGTTTTCTTCTCATATGGCCCAGTCCACTGATCAAGAGAATTTCCGACAAGCGTCAATATAGAATCGCCAGCATAATGGCGTTAAAATTAATTAGCGTAATATTTAATGAACCTCATTTTCAAGTCAAAGCGTATTTTGCGTAAAGAAGGCTATTAATTTTTTCCGATGTTTTCCGATAACGTCTGTTTAAACACCTGCGACAAAAACCTTCAATGGCGAATCAACTCCTCTATGATGAACGGTTTATTATGGGAAATGTGTAAATACCACTTGCATTGGAGTGGGCAACAGCTCATCACCAGAGCATTTTTAAAGCGACCTTTAAGTAGAAAAGTTGGCAATACGTAATAGCAATAAATTGTAACTAACTTTGTCCAAAGGTTTTCTCTACATGTGTATGGTTTGTCCAGAAATGAATATAATTCAGTTGAATTTCTAACATGTTATGTTTTATGGTTAGGGCATTGCTTTTGATATATTTGAAAATGATGCATTTTTTAAAGATTGAAACTTTTGGTAATATTTTGTACTTTATCCGAGAAACAAACTCTGAACCCGTTGAATACCGCTTAACGTTAAAAAAACATGGGCAACGTACTTTCATAGAAAAATATAGCATTTTGACCATGCCCCAAGGGCTACTGGCAGTTCCAAGTAATAATATAACTATTTCTTAGAAATCGTTTCATGCCAGAAAGCCAACACGGGAAGTCGTGGAGGGACTGTTTCGAGCGGCCGCCACGTTGAACCCAATTTTTTCATTGCGCGTATTGCTGGGTGCGGTATTTTTTACATGGGTTTTTATAACCTGGCACATGACGTAAACCAGCTGTTACGGTGTTATCCAATCGGGAGCTTAAACGTCCCGACATTGACGTTCCGTAATGACGTTTAAGCTCCCGATTGGATGAAACCTTCAACAGCTGATTTACGTAAAGTGCCAGGTTATAAAAATTCAAGTATAGTACTATCGTTCTATTTTCAATAAAATGACGTCATTCACATGGCAGTGGATCACTCGCTTCACTTAGTGAATCCCGTAACTTCGGCACACACAACCAGTATTGTATTGTGTGCCACTTCTGTAATACATGTGGCTAAATCCGTTTTAAAATATCTGATTACTTGATGCATCTCCATTCATATGATCCTTGTTCATTCACCTTTCATGAAGCTGGTTTACTGATAGGAAGTGGGCGTCTTAAGACGAGTGGACATCACGCTCCACTCATAACTAAAAAGGCACTAAAAATCTCTCAAAGTTTTTCTAAACATTAACAAACATTGTATATTAGAATGAAAAATACTATGCTAGTTATGTGGTTGTTCATTAAAAAAGATTTTATAAATGCATTTCCATTTGGAGACGGTGAAGGTCATTTGGAACAAAGTACAAAAAATTACAAAAATGACATTCTTTATTAAAAAAAATAGGTTTATAAATATTTACTTTTCGCACCGCCACAGCTCCATCTTTCCTTTTCAGAGTAACGGGGATTCCCCCGAGCAAAACACTTGCTGGTCGCCCCGAACACATTCTGGATAAGAATTTGTGTGGGGGAGGATTACAACAAAAATTTTGTTTATCCCTGAACGCGAAAACTTATTAGGGTCATTATTCTACAGAATTTCGTTCAAAATACACATTAGAGAAAACAGATGCAGATAATCGTGTTAACTAGAGTAATTAATTCTTCAGTAACTATGTTGAAGAAACGAACAAAATACCTTACAGTACAATACTCAAAATGAAGGATTAGATGATATACGAGCAGAGTACGCGATTCTGGAGAATGTCATCCACACAGAAGGTAAACTGAGCCGCAGTCTCCACAGTAAAATCTTCTCCTCCAAGTAGTAGTTCATCAACATTCTGTTTCGCCCAAACAAATGGAAGAATAAAGTTTACTCGCAATATTATCACCAAGCCATTGAAAGCTAGGAATCAACTCTGACCCGAGAATGTTTAATGCTATTATGGCTGCTCTGCGATTACCACGGCAAAATACTCGCACAAAGATTCAGGGGAAAGAGGCGCAGTAATGTTGTGAGATAAGCAGACGTATTTGCATGGGTTTTCCTTATGTGATAAAGATAAATTGCCTTGGACTGCTCTGTGGCATCGTTTGCTCCACCACAACGATTGCCCGTGCCCTGCCAGTGTTTGTGATTCTACAGAAATTTAGATGACAAGTGTTCCCGCAAGTTGACCACTCCGAATGGCAATCGTGAAGAGTAGAATGCTAAAACGTTGAGCGGGAGTTAATTAGACATGGAATTAACCGCCAAAAATCACGAGAAAAAGCACAAATGGTAACTAGCTAGAACTTCGTAATCATTAGTCGTAGAAAAATTACAGTATGAAATTGTAATTAGTATTAACACACTTGTATAAAGTTTACGACACTCACTCGTTCCTTGCTCAAGTATTATCTTCACGCTTGTGTAGTAATGTCCATCATTATATTATCGTTCCATAATATCCACTTTCTATGAAGTAGCAAACTAGAAAATAATATGAACGTACGCACATGGACTTCAAGCTTACAAATAAGTCTTTCAAAAACAGCTTAAGGCCGTATTGTTCCTATTATCACGAGTCTATCTTTTTACAATTTTCGAAAACGACATCCAATTTTAATACATCGAATGGGAGAGGATTATCTTGAACGAAAGTGAATCAGGATGTTTAAAAAGTGGTATATTTCTCGTTCATAGTTCTAAGGAACTGGCACGCCCAATAAACAGAATTCACACACACACACACACACACACACACACACACACACACACACACACAATTTGTACAAGTACATCTAAACACTTTCACTTAACAACAAGGGAATTGATAAGGAAAATTAAGAATAACCATAGAATGAATCTCATGCTGCCTTTCATAATATTCCAAAAACAACCCGCAAAGAAGAAAGTGCTGATGTCTGTTAGAAAACTAACAAATTTCTAGCATTGTCATCACTACAAGGGAGTTCTTAAATTCTTTGCAAAGCTGTAACTTAGCGCACGTAATGTAAAGGAATGACGTTGCGTCGGCATTTTCTTCAATGTTCACACAACTTCAGCGGGAGGCGTGCTAAGTATTTTATCGTTAGTTCTCATCCCAGCGTCAGCACTTTGCTCGACTCTGAACAGTCAATTTCCGTTTCAGCGAAGTTTTACTTGCTTTACTGCCAATAATTCAATCCCAAAAGTCCCAAACGTCCTAAAAGCCACAAAACAAAATTTGAAACCTGCCTTCATCTAGGTGTAAAATACAATGTAAATATGGTTCATAAATTAAATCCACGCGTTTAAAAAATTAATTCGAAACATTTCCAAGCTCGGGACAATTTAATGATGCAGATGGACAAATAATGAGAATAATGATGGGCTAATTTTTCAATGTACACCGCGATATGCATAATCAGAAATTTTGATGAGAAGATGAGGAAATTCTGAGTAAACAACACAAGGATAATGTACTTATATTGTATCGTAAAACGTTCAATTTGTATACATTAAAATCTTTATTAAATCACATTCTTTAACAACTAATATTTTCAAAATTTCACTTTGTGCTGTAGTCTGTTTATATTCTATGCTTCTGGGGAACAATTTTTTTTTTAATGCAAAAGTTGATGTACTGAAGAATTTTAGTGCATATTGTAATCATAAATGAATCAAACTTCAATGTTTTTCAACAACATTTCAAAAACGTGTTTTATTGATATGGCTTCAATAAGTTTCTTCAAATAATTGATTTCTATGCAAAATGTCTTTTCTCCGACACTTCTAAAAGAATCGCACTTTCTTGGTAGATTGGAAAATTACGTATCATACATAATTTGGGACTGCCATAAATAGTTATTAAGCCTCACCGATAGACTGTCACAGTGCTTACTGAGCTGATGTCATTCGTTATTTACTTCTGTAATTTAAAAAATGAATTATTTTAATTTTAAACTCGCAATACTGAAGAATTCTTTTTCTGAAGGATTTTACTCATTTGTCCCTCAACCCAATATTTAAGTTGGCGATGTTCAGAATGCTAAGTTTTTAAATAGCCAGACGACCCAAATGACGTATTTGGTTGCAGCACCTGCCGAGCAAATGTTACCGATCAAAACAGTCTATGTCACGGACGATTCCATCATGTGTGCATTTATATTTCATTCTTTAGGAAGGCTAGAAGGGTTGGAGTGTCGGCGATTTGTTAAGTGATAACTCTTAAAAGAATTAATTTCCAACGAAGATATTTGTATCATATGTGATCTTTGTGGATCCTTACGACGCAAAACGTAATTTTTGGCAATTTACAGAAACGTTTGTAACCGAACTCCCATAGATTCGCAATTTCGAATAAGAAAATGTACAGTATTTTCTTCTCGCGTGTTTCTCCCCAATGTACTGTTAGTTCAATTATAACAACGATGTCGATCTTGCCTACTGGTGGCAGTAGCATGCCACGATCATTTCAGCGCAACTAGAGGCGCTAAAGAAACCATCAGAACCCTCTCCGTTCTCCAACAACGATGGGGTTAGTGAAATCTGTCGCAAAGGTCGTCAAATTATAAGACTTATTCTAATCCAACAAAAGAGGGTGCAAAATATTGAAGTAAAGATTAAACTAAACGTAACAAGAAACTTACTTTAATATTGATTTTTCTAAGCCCTCATCTTATTTCTCGTGTAGTTCCAGAAGTACGTTCGCTATTCCTTTAGTGGAGAGGTGATCAACCGCGTGCTGTTGAGATTTCATTGTGCCACCCGCCTCAAGAGTTTCACTGGTGGGAAGGAACTAGACATTACGAAATTATAATTCGTTTTCTACTCTGAGATCTGGGTAACTTCAGAGGTTGGAGACTGCATTGACTCATTACCTGTCTGGAGGGCTGGTGTGACAAATCTCATAGTCAGCATGGAGGCTTGTCATTTTTCTTTCGCGCGTGTGTACTCGACTCCACTGCCACAAGGTAAAGTAAGAACTTCCAACAGCGGAGTATCGCGCTAAAGACGTTTGATTTAGGCTACGGAAAGCACTAATAATTGAAAGTAAAAAACACCTCCCTACACGTTTGTGGAGCAACAGGTCAAATACTATTAACTACACAATTATTACCACTTCCGTTTCAAGCGAAGACTTAATGCATTATAAAATTTCTAAATGTGCATTACGATGTCCCGAATCAATAATCATTCATTACAATGAAATCGTGGAGAAAATATAATTATCACTTAAAAACTTGTGACATGACCACTTCAAAACCCATTATTTCTTGGAGGTAATAGATTTGGCTATGTTGCTCCTTAGTTTGAATTTAAAAACTGAGGAAAACCTTTTTAGAGAATTCTTAATTGAATGAGGAGCTAAACTCCTAAGAATAATGCCCTAGAACTGGTAACGTACCGCAATGGATCCCTTGTTTTGCGCAGTGGCCCACCGTGCGTCTTTATTAGTTCCTACGGGAATAGCAGCCTGGGGGGGGGGTGATGTGTCACGATAAACCAATCAGCATCAAGGCAGTCTCCGGTTAAAACCTTAATTTTACGCTTTTGGAGAACTGTAAAATAAATTTGAGCCACTTCCTAACTTGCTGCCTTGAGAACATGTACTCCCTACTTGCAATTATTTTCAGGTTACGGCTGACAGATGCGTCAGTGGGTGCCATGAGCAACATATCAACATGTAGTAACTCCACAATTCATTTCAATTTAGTTTGTAGCAAATGCTTAATATATTTAAAACTCGTTAATAGTTTTGTGACTGAATCCAGTCCGAATACATTATTTTAATGAATCGCTTATTCTGATTTCTATTTCTGCACTTTTATTCACTAGGTACATTTTTACGTTAGGATTCTCTTCCAGCTTCACG